AAAGAAAAAAACAGGGCTGGCTCTGAGGTCTTGCATCAGAGCCTTTTAAAAACGTGCTGTTCATCACACTGTGTTAAATGTTACATTATCCCCATTAGATATTTGAAATGTATTACAACTCTAGTAGTCACTGAAGGTGACAGCCTGCTTTCTACTTTTTTTTTTCCTCAGTTCACACGCTTCTCAGAGCAGTTTACCGTTTCCTGTAATGAGTTTGTCAAGGTCCTAGAAGCTGTTATATAAAAGTCATACATTTCTTATCTTACAAACACAGGCTGTATCTGGAATATAAAGTTTTAAGTGACCTTTTTATCCATCCTCAACCTTATTTGTGTGCTGTGTATTGTGTACTGTGAATACCCAATTTCCCCCTTTTCAAGTAATGGGATTTTATGGACAGATCTGAATCTGCTGCACTACTGTATTCGATTAGAGAATCCAAATGCAAGTGCAGAATTCAAACCCCGTCATGAAATAGGAACACTGTGCAGACTTCCAGCTAAGGAGAATGATATCACCAGAATATGCAACCTCTGAACTTGGGGACATATTCTTACTCATATTTTTATCCTTACAACAATTAGGAATATTGTTGTCATCATTGAATAAGCTGCTTTGTTTTGGATAACTGTATCTTAGAAATAATGGAGTGTTATAGTGATCAGCCATACCCCGAATCCATAGAAAAAGCATTAGAAACACACCCTTATCTCATTTTCTCAACAATACATTTTCATACACACACAAAAAATGTTGAAGTTGAGAAGCTAGATGTGAGCTGGAGATGGGAAAGATACAGAGCCCCAGCCCCAGGGCTCTGAGCTGCTGGATCGCTCTCGACAGCGTTCGAGACACAAGACAGGAAAGAGGCAGCAGGCGGGGATGCAGAGCCCTCAGGAGCTTTAGTATTTATGGCAGTATTAGCTGTGGGTAGCTGTGGTTGGGACCGCAAACCCTATTTTTGATTTAATTTGCTTGATCTTCCACAAGTGACTGGGCTTACGCTCAGTGGCTTTCGGGGATTTAAGCAAATGTTTACACAGCCGTCTTCTATTTATGCCCCTGTTATCCGGTTGAGGGGTAGACCTCTTTATTGCTCAGCGCATTGTCCTGATTTGTAAAACTTCAGGGGATGGTCAGAATGGGCGCAGAAGCCAATTACAGGTCCAGACCTCCAGAAAAGGGAGCCGTGCCTCTGTCTTGCATACTTCTTCCGTTCTTTTGGAAGTAAACGCTTTCTTTTTTTAAGCATCTGTTCTTTTACGGTACCTTTCTCTGGCGACGGGTTTATATCTGAGGGCCATGGCCTGGTTGGTCCTTTCATACAGAGACCTGCACTCTTTCTCTCCACACCAGGGTGTTTTGGTGAGCTGATGTGAAAGACAGGAATCACACACGATAGGCGCATGTTATCTGATGTCGGCGGAAAGGACTTTATATAAAATGCAAAGAGCAAGCTTGAGTTTGGAATTGTGTCTTTGTCCCCTTGTGTGCCTCTTCTACTTGCAAGGTTTGAATGGAAGTAGAAACAAACTACTGACTGAAATCAAAGCGTGGTTTCTAAGAACCTTTATTATAAAATTGCAGATATGATCATCAAACTTTTCTGTGTTTAGGAGTTTTTGACTTTGTTCAGTATGCTTGCAAACAACCAGCAACCATTTTAATGACACTTAAGAGAGTAGTTTAATGGTAATATTTCAACTGCATGGGGAATGAACATAAAACTGCCCTCATCTCAGCTACACAAATGACTATGGTGGCGTTTTGTGTGTTTGTTTATATTTTGACTGCAGTTATCGTGAGCTTAAATAGATTTCATTCTCTTGTAGACAATCAAAAGCACTGCAGAAGATCTTTGAAAAGACAATATGAACATTATCCTTGTACGATTCTTGTATGGTTCTGTTTTGGTTGTTGCTATGTTCTTAGCATTGATCTTCTTCACAACAAAGCACAACATTTTGTTTTCTTTTTAATCTCTACCCGACTACTTTTACTCCTCGTATTAGTTTATAATAGAAAGGAGTCCAACATTGAAAAATTCTAAATGTTCAATTTTGAGTGACATGCCCTTTTGTATTTTACATAATATTTTACACACTAATGGTTGAAAATAAACTCTCCATGGTTTTATTTCATTATTCCCATTGAAATATAGTTCTAGGTTGGTGTTCCAGTTTGCAGACGGTGGGTGAGAGATTATTTCTTGATCATCTAAAAAAAAAGACAATAGAAAATCAAAATAATTGAGCTCCTTAAGTATTTCACAAATGTTTATTGTTATAACTGAGGTGAATTTGCTGTCATTGTGGCACACCTTACCAAACAGGTCTTACAGATTTCCAGTGGTTCAACAACTAATTTATTTTTCTGAATTAACTATAATCCAATAAAGTTTGGAATGATTAATAGCCTTACTGTGATTATCAATGTTTTTTTTTAAATAACGTTGGCTTAATTTTCCATGACTTTGGAACCATATGTTGAATGGAAGTCTCAGTTTCATTCTGAAAAACATTTTTTTCTGCACTTGAATATAAGGTCTGCCTTTTCTGATTAAGTTAAACTTCCCATTGCTTTTCTGTTCACCCTAGAAATTGACTTCATTTTGTGGTTGAGATTCTTCTAACAGTGCGTTTGAAAGCATTGATTCATCGATGCGATGATTTTCATAGACTTCTGAATTTCACCTGATAACTACAGCAGAATGTAGCCCCTTACAACAGGACACGTTTCCCAGAATGGTATGGTCAATCCTGTGCATGCCAGACCATCAGCTGGTGTTAAAATGAGTTTTCTTGCCCCCTCAATACCTGCTGACAAATGAACACGTTTAAGAACAGCTTGCCGAACTTTCCTCAGATGCCCACTTTGTGTAGCGTTAATCCTGCCTACATTGAAAAAAATCCATGTCCTGTGCTATCTGCAACGACAGACGGCGTGCTGGTTTTAAATGCCTGTTGTCTCTGCCTGACAGTAAGGGTTATGAATTTAGATCTGTGTATACTTGGTTGTCCATTCCCACCAAAAAGGTTCTGAGAAAATGAATTCAAGGAATATAATTCCATGCTTCCATGTGGTCTGGCTCCCAGGTTTCATTATGTAACAAAGTCTTTGCTTTTGCCACGTTCGCCAGCATCTCTCGTGGTCAAAAAAAGTCAATTGATGTAGCACAAGAAATGGAAATATAATGATAGGTGTGAGGAAGAATTGAGAATGATGGTAGCTCAGCATTTTGCATAGTTTAGTTAGTGTCAATTTAGAGCAGCTCAGTGGGGATAAAATTACTGTTGGAATCTTCGTGGATCCTATGTGATCCTTGTACTTTTTCATTGAGACGTGCGAGATTTTCCATTCAGGCTGAGTTTCTTCCTGCACGCCTCTCCTTCTCCAGCTCTGCCTCTCACACTACATGCAGTCTTCAGTCACGGAGACAGCAGTCTTCAGGACATTGCCCTCCTATTCATATGGAAAAGCTTGCTCTGCAGACGGCCCTCTTCTTACCTTATCAGTTAGGAGGATTAGTCAGGCAGGAAGAAAAGAAGGAGCTAATGGTGATGCAGCAGTCTGTTGCCCCAATATAAATTAGCAGGAACAATGAAAGCATGCTAGACAGGGAGGCAGAACAATCAGAACTGCCAGACATAAATCTGCCAAGACGTTAAGCATCTGTGGGGAGACACTTCACTGGCTTTTCAGCCTTACTGTGTACCAGCGATCACCCTTTAACCACGGCTTCGTTTAGACCTTCTGAGTCAAATATCTTGTGGGAAACACGTAGATTTCTACTATGCTGAGACCTAGAATACACTAAAAGGCATATAAACTAATGGCTTACGATTGACACTTAGAGTAACGAAGGAGTGTCCTCCACTGATTTACGTACTCCAATGATATTAATAATTGCAGTTATGTCGTGACTTTATCCCCCTTAACTAATTAAGAGGCATTGAAGGAAGATGAAGAATGCCATAAATTACTTGGAACTGGGCAATCCACACTACGGTCGTCATAGAGATATTCCCACACATGGCAGTGAATCACTTAAGGTCTGTCCAACAATATGAACTAATAAATCAAAGATTACATCTAAGAAGGTTAATTTAGGTGAAGTATCTAGGCTCCAGTCAACACAATAGCGCTTGGATGACATGTGATACCTTACTTTGTGCTTAGTTTTTAAACCATAAATAGTTCTCTTTGTCAGTGTGTTTTTTTTTACAATAGTCCTGTAATCTCTACAGATGAAAACAAGTAAATTGTGCACACACAGGTGTTTTCTTAGTTAGGTCTCCCCCTTCAACAAATCAACACAAAGAATGGTGTTACACATCATTAATGTACGAGAAATGTATGGTTTTAACTATTATTTCTGATTGATTGCTGAAATTGATGGTGCTGATAGAAGCAGCCTGACAGTATACAAAGTATACTGGTCTGTGCACCAGTGTTGGGCCACTTAAATCTGATTCACAGTCAAGAGTGGGTTACGCAGATAAGGAGGGCTGTATAGACAATCAATAGGAAGAGATTTATACACAGTCAGTCAGGAATATAGATTTTGATAGAAAAAAAAAAGACATCAGGGTGTATATGCCTCTTGGGTTTTGTTAATGTGTTTCTAGCATGTTCTAATGATCTGTTGAAATGTTACTGGGTAGAAGGATCACAGGAGATTATCTTTGGTTTGACTGTAAAAGCCAAAGGCCAGACAAGACAAAGACTACATGAATTACATGCTGAAATTAAATTTAATTTTAAATTAATCTGAACTATTATCTCTGAACTATGCTGTGCAAATTCTTAACAGGAGTTAAATATTTTTTCTCTATATTCACCTTTTTATTTAATATATTAGCCTGTATGCAAGTAGCACATGAAACAGTGTGAAGGTAGTAAAAGAAATTGTCAATGTCTAGGAAACCTGCATGAATTCTGCTTAATATAATGTGCCTCATTGCAGTGAATAACACTTCGGCACTGTGTCTGCTTTCCAGATCCCACAGAGAAGACCGGAGAGGACAGTCGGACTGTGCCAGAGGATGGCTGAGGAGCTGACTGTCACTGGCTTCTCATTCCTCATTCCTCGACCAGCAGTCGAGCAAGTCTCTGGGAATGTTTCACACTTCCAAACGCATTTTGGAGAGTGGATCCACTTCAAATGCAACCTCTGAATATTATTTCTGTTGTGGGTTTTTTTTTCCCCAAGTAAAATAACCAAACAACAAAAAGGTTTGCTTGAATCTTGTAAATACTGGTATCAGGACTCTGTAAGAACATTATTTGCAACGTAACCCATTCATTGTCTCGGTAATATCCCTCCTCCTGGCAGCCCAATTTAAGAAATTTTTAAATGTTAGCTCTTTTTAAATAATCTTGGATTAAACACAGCAACAAGTTACATCAATAGTGAAGTTTTCACACTGCAGTGACACACATACCACAAAGTTGTTTGAGCAGAAATAGATGTGTGTCATACATGATACTATGACTTTGTAACTGAGACGCTCTCAGTTAACTTAGTTTGAAGACAGGTGTACAGGCTATTATAATAAGTAGGGAAAAAAGGCTATGTATCTGTGTTTGCATACAGAATTGCTTTTGTTTTTGATTTTTTTTTTTAACTTTTACTCCTACTGTATTATTTGAAACGCGTATCAATTCAGGTGTTTTCCACATAGCGAGGATGTGATTACAAATTTGTTTTTTTAATTTCCCCATTTATTCATTAGATGAAAGTACAGGTATATGGTGTTTTTCTATGTAGAGCATTAAGATAAATCAGTATGTCTGCTGATGTTAGAATACACTACAAATATAATTTGATGGCGTTTCATTTAGTAGCCTCTAGTATTAGCCAACAACAAAAAAAAAGATTTCCATATCCCACTTGTTCTGTGCTGAATCTCTTGCTTTCCACTCTTCAGAGTGCTTTTGCATTCCAGTACAGTTTCTCTGTCTTTTGAAGATTAGTATTTAGGATGAAAAACAGCTGCTGCCCTTGATGCCTTTTTAAACCTCCTCTTCTAGTAATAATCTACTGAACATATAATACTTATATATAATAAACATGTACATACATTTGTATATACTGTATTGGAAGGCATTAAAAACACAACACATTACAGTACTCGTTGATTGTATTTGTCTTGCCTTTCAATGTATAAACATATGTAAACACAAAAGAATTTAACCACACTACACTGAAATCTGGCTAGTAAATGCTGGCTTCTTCTTGATAGTCCTTCTTTGTATCTGAATTGCAAATGTGTTTTGTTTGCATCTTGTAGTTTTGAGAAAATACTGTACTTAGATGTAGAAAACAAGAAAAAATATATACTAATTGGTAACAAATCAGGCAGTATACAGTATATGCATTCCCATTGAGAAATAGCTTGGGATATTTTTTCCAGAAATACTATTATATAAATACAGAAAGACTATTTTATATGTAATGCTTGTAGAGCACTAACTGTTAACAGTTTAGTAAGTACTGTAACTAAAAGCAAGTGACTTTTTTACAGTGCAGTTTTCCTAGTTAGAGGTGTCTAAACACAGCAATATTTATTATAAATAAAAGTAGTAAGATCCACACCATCAAATAAGCCTAGAAAAATATATAAAAAAATAGTAAAAGATTTGAAATGTATTTTATTTGTCTTTAATGCTTATTTATTTACCTCACTGATCTCAAAATCCATGACCAATACTTGTAGTTTTGTTAATGCTGAAAAAATCCACCAACAAATTGAATGATATAATGGTAGCAATCTTTATTCAAGGGCTGAAAGAACAAGTTCTGCTAGTCTGTATTCTTAAGGATCCTTTAGCTGAGAAAAATTAGATTGTGTTTATTAAGTATATATTAAAACCAGCGCTGGGAGCTCTGTCAGCATGCAGGGTTGTAAGAAAGCTTGCTTAGAGGTTAATTCTGTGCGTTGAATCAATTTCTTCTGGAAAATCTACTGCACTGGTGTCTCAGAATTACTGAGAAGCATTTCCATGACAAATACAGTGTTATGCTCGTGTATAAACATCCTGAATTGTTATATCTCTTTGCTAGTTGAATTACTTGTTACAAGAATTTCTGTTTTGTTTCCACTTTCTGTCCACTCTTAAAGGTCTGATTTAATGCCCACTGGTAATATATTACAGGGAATTAGGCAAGATGGCATCACTGTGATTGATTGATGTGGTATTCGTTGTGTGTTTTGTAATGTAGTAATCTGACAGTCACAGAAAACCAGCACCACACGTCCTCTGTCTTTTTTGGGACTGTCTGTAGTGAGAACTAGTGGCCGAGTTTATACTGAGTTTGGCCATTTAGATTGTTAAAGTCAGAGTGATCCAGAGCCACAATTACATGTTTCTATAAATCTGTTTAATAAAACATTGTGTCAGCATGGTAAAAATCTTAGGGACTTTAAAACTTTGATATACATGTACATTGACATTCAAGCTAGATAAAATATATTTAGATATTTTAAGATGACGCATCTTTTTGTATTAATTAAATCTCATGCTGGCGTACAAAATAGGTTTCTTTGAAAGTTGGTGTAAGCTCCTGTCTGCTAAACTCTTTTCGAGAAGTTAGAGTTACAGGGAGCATTCAGTAAAGTGAGTTAATTAAGGTACCGACAGAAAGAAAGTGCCTGTTGGTGCTCCTTCATCACACTGCTGTTGCATTCAGCCTGGCCGCACATCTAGAGCCAAAAGCAATATTATTTGTATTGAAAAAGAATAGAATTACCTAAGTGTACAGTAAGTGTGAGGAATTCTGTGTAGCTCAAAGCTCCACTTTCTAGTTGATGTATGTAGTGTTTAATTTTGTTGTTAAGTTAATAATTGCTGTCCTGAAGGTCAGCAGCAGTACAGCAAGAGTGGATAGAATACTGAATAGATTGTCTCCGTCTAGGGGTAGCAAGAACTGTTTCAGCTTTGATTGTAAAATAAATAGTTGAAAAATAAATGGGCTGTCAGGCAGAAAAAAAAATGTGTTCCATTGATGTGCGACATCAAAGCCCATTTATCCTCCAGAAAAACATCAGCCAAGCTCAGAGAATTTATTTTAGACATGTGCCCGTCTAGAATCAAACCCACAACCTCCCATTCCATAATCCATCTCTGCTAACCGCTACGCCTACATGCAGTTATTTGACGTCTTTTCAGCCAGTCATACCAGTTTCATTCATGCCCTTAACATGTGGTATCACTGAACAGTAAATGAATACTCCCCATTCTAAAATGGCTAAGAATAATATCTGGAGCCTCTTCGGACCTCCCACGTTACCTTCTGGATATTGCTAGTTCTTTTGCTGCGATTGCAACTTTGAGATGCTGAGCGAGGATGCTTCCAAAATAAGCTTTTGGAATCCGTATTAAAAATAATTTTTAAAAAATCCAAACAATATTATTTGTGCTCTGTTACCTTGAAATAGTGTTCCATTTGCACTGAACTCTACCGTTCTGACCCTTTTTATTTTCTCAATGATTAAATGTGTGCAAGAGAGTTGATTTAACCCCCTTGCAACCTTAGAAGTCCTATTTTTGACCATGCTGGGGTCATGTTTATCAACTGGACTAATAATATTGGAAACGTGACACGTTGAAGTGACTTGGCTTTTAAAATAACTTCCAGATCCTCATCTGCACCCTAAACGGACTAATTAAATGTGACATGTTTGGATTTATGAGAGAGAGAAATAGTCGTTTCAAACAGAAGCCTCACTGTGTGTTATGGTGAGCTGAAGTGGAGAGCATTGTTCTCCAAGCTGCTGTATCAATAATCACCGCGTGCTGACAAAAACAACATCTGAACTTGAGTTTGTGTCTTGTAAAATAATCTGGAACCAGATTAAGTCCGTTCAGTGCAGATTTCAGGAGAGTAGCATTTCACTACTACACATTCGTAAACCTTTTATATTTTTAATTTAATAAAAGCTTTTCAGATAAATCCTACCCCTGCCTTGTGTAAAACTTCAGAGGGTGTTCACAACTGTTTTCCAGGATATATGGATAAAACTAAAGAAAGTCTTTGTCTCTTCCACCTTCTCTGAGATGTACAGTATATAAATTAAACATAAATAAATGGCATTATAACTAACACTTTAGAAACATTGCTGTAAGATCTTGGGCAAAATAGCTGGTATGTATTTCACAATTTAAAGCAAAACACTAGAAATGTGGTTTAAAACCAGGTGATGAGTTTAGGGAATCTTAAAATGCTTTTTAAAACTCTTGCAGATGTTTAGTTTTGCAATGTACTCGAGTTTCTCAACAGCAGTGGTCAAATGTCTATGAATAAAGTACAAAATTTCTGATAAAAATACCTTCAGTTCAAACCATTGGTATGCTCTGTGTCATTTTCATTATTTTAAACGTACCCTTATTTACACATCACTGGGCTTAAGACCTGTTTGGCTTTTTTTTTTTAAATTGCCTATCTACAGTATATCTGTATTTTTAAAATGTTTTTTTAAAACCAGTCTGTTCCATGTTGACAAACATCATTTGTTTTTGTATAATATACAGGGCTTCTGTTGTACCCTTTTTGTCAATATACCATTGTAACAGTGCCACAATGTTTAAGTACAAGAAAATTTTAATAAAAGTTTGGATTAGACAAAACATCGAACAGTCTTCTTGCCACATTTCAGACATGATCAGTGATACACTTAATTCCCTCTTTTCTTTTTGTCTTCAGTTGAAATGTTATAGCTTTGTTTGATGGCTCACTGAGGAGACCCTAAATTTATTGCAATTAATAAACCTCCCAGTCAGTGCTAATACAGGTTAAAGGGCTAAAGAGTGTAAGTGGACAGGGCAGTGCAGAAGTCACTTAATGTTCCAACCTTTCACCTGTGGAGGGCAAAGTTCAGATTAATTTTAGGTTTTTAAATAGAAGTAGTTGGGCGAACTCAGCATTTATTCCTGTCTTCAGCCCTACAGATCCCAGCTCCGTTTTCACAGGAGGTGGCACTGAGGAACTGACGATAAGGACAAAATAACTTTTTTTTTTTTGCCTTTTTTAAATTTCAGCCCATAGTTAGAGCTTTCCTGCGATAGAGGAAATTGTGTAGATTATTGAACGTATTCTGGAAGAAGTGCAGTGAGTCACTTTTCATTGTTTTAGTCTTACATAACTGGAAAAAGAACAACGAGAACTTATGTATCCACTCTCCAAAATATTCATTTACCAGCCACAGATTATAATTTGATTATCGTAGAATTGTCTAGATACTCCGCTTTGTATGTGCCATTACTTCATTCATATGTATATTAGCTAATTAGTTCATTTTGAGGATATTTCTCAATGCAACCAATACATGATTATTAACCAATATGTCATAACTGGAGCACAAACGCATTCAGCATGAGATATGGGTTTATAAAATGAGAGCAATAAAAGAATTATGTTGGTTCACATTCAAGTGCTTCCTTTTCAATGTTTCAAACTCGGTTGAACCTGTGTAACCAAGAGCCGCAGTGTGTCTGGGAAGTAAATTAATTTGCACACAGGTGGTCATTCTGAGCTGCGTTACAATGAAATGTTGACGATGACCATGCACGTGTAAGTTCTTCTGTGTTAAACGCCCTCAATGCAGGATGTTATCTGAACTGTATCTGCGGTATCTGCCTTCTCCACACTTGTCCATAAAGGTGCTCTTTGTCGCCATCCAGTGATCAATTGCATCTGGAATATTTTTTATGCCTACACAATTAACATACAAATTGTACCCGAACTGAATAAGATATACAATTAATAACATTTTGCTCTTAGTAGCAACTAGTGAATGCAGTAACCACGCAAAGATTCTGACGAATTGAATGCATGCTTTTTCTATTTAAAACCTCTTAAATGTAACCTTATCGTGAAAATCATCGCTTGAGTATACCGTATAGAGTTGAGTATAATCCCAGTTCTCCAGTCTAGAAAATGCTGTGTAGTTATACTTTGCCTTAAAACAGAGCACGAAAGGTGGTTGATATGTACTTCAGTTGATATGGACTGTATTCACAAAAATTCAGGGGTGCTTACAGTCTATATCAAACGTTTTGAGGGGTCAACGTTTGTTTTTTTAAACTAGGTTCCGAAGTGAAAATATTCTAAATCATTTTCATTAATATGTCTCCCGTGTATAAATGGCATCATGTTTGTTTTTTTTTAATGGCCATAAACCAGTTCGAGACAGCGCATTAAGGCAACCACTGGGGAAATGAAACGTGTCAGAAAAGCGAAATCGTCCGATCTTACATTGTTCTAGTAATTAGCGCATATTATCTTCCGTTGGTACAGTTTACAGGTGACATTTGATCCAGATATAGTTTATTCCGGGGGACCCCGGGTAAAAGCTTCATTAAACACGCCGAATTGCTGACAATCCACCTCGTCCGGTTCAGAAAAGTGCGCTTGTGTTTCGTGACGTGGGGCTGCGGAGAAGGTGGGAAAGCAGAGGCGTCCCGTGAAAAGATGGAATTTGAAACGTTCAAAGGGATCGATAAGCGTGATCGGAAGACAGACACTCCTCGGCCGCAGACTT